AAGGCATGATTTTTTTCATTACTTCAACATACATGAACAACCTATCTTCAGATCACTATCATTCCTGATACTGGGCAATCATAATTTATCTCCTGCACTTCTACACAGGTCAAGTCAAGATATTTCTGTATGTCCATCCCAGGTACAGAGGCTATATAATCTTATTAATAATATGACACACTTCTTTCTGAGGAGCCTTGAGGCTTAACTACCATACAACTTCTAGAAGTATCTCAATAAACATTAAGAAAATAAGCTAAACAAAGTGGAAAGCATTTTTTCATTACTTCAACATACATGAACAACCTATCCTCAGATTACTATCATTCCTGATACTGTGGAATCATAATCTATCTCCTGCACTTCTACACAGGTGCAGGGGACAAGTTAAGATATTTCTGTATGTCCATTCCAGGTACAGAAGCTATATAATCTTAATGAACACTCAGTCAACATTGTCTTTTATCTCTATAATAGTCATATGCAGTGCCATTTTTATCGGAGATCAACAATAGTTACCAAATATAACAAATACAGCATACAAACCAGATTTTTCAAAATATAAAATGTAATAGACAATATGGCTAAGACTTGCCCTCAATATACAAGCTACCAACAATCTTACAGTCTTACATATGAGACCATCCCTAAATATTAACCCACACCAAATAGAGCCACATGCCAGGGACAATCAGTCAAACTTGTGATAAATTAAAATCACAGAAAACATGTTCTCCTCAATGTCTACAATTCTGGCTGCAGCATATATGACTTTTTAAATAAAAACTAAACATTTTTAATGACGACTAAAAAGAGCCTACTTTGGAAGCTGTACCCCTTCAATTAGTATAGACAGCCAAATATGGGAATGATTGTTTATTACACAAAACAGAACAAGCTCAACTGTTCTTGGCATGGATAACTGCCACCCAGGACAAGGGTATTCAGTGCTTCATGACAAGAATGGATGAAATCCAGAATGAATAAGTACTGACTGTACTTAAACAATCTTATTTGATCATATTAGTTATCTAGATAGATACAGCATGTAAGCAATTCTTTTCCACAAAAACACACCTAACTGCATTAAAATCATGGAAATATGCTGCTCCACAATTAGAATTTTAAACAGAACTATCATGAAATACTTCATTTCAGTTTTCCCAATTAGCATGGGTGGCAAGATTACAATGCCATGCCCACTGTAATAAAGTTCATCTACTGTCATAGATGACTCTACAAGTCACCAAGGAGTCAGCTATTAGTCTTACCTATCTCAACAGTTTACCTTTTTCCTTGATTTTTTGAAAGCTTCATTTCTATTATTTTATTATCTTTGATGTTATTAATATCTTAATAACAACTTAATAATCATAATATCAATAAGAATAATAACAGAAAGAAAAAAAAATTTCTGCAAATTCAGGGAATGGGGCAATCAGGTGTGGTCCCTAGGGGCAACTGATAGACTCCTTGGTGGCTGAGCACACATGGAGCCATCTGTATGTAATAAAATTCACAAAAATCTAAAGGGGACAGTACATAAACCTACAGACATTGGGTTTAAAAATAAGAAAAGTAACATCTTTATAAAGGCACAAACATATGAACACACTCACACATACATGCACACATATTGTAAAATTTTATATCAACATGCACAATATATTAACATTTCAAATTATCTGTATAATAAAAAAAAAAAAATATTATCATATTTATACAAAGTCATATTCTTCTCTTAAATACATAATCTGGGCTGAATGTCAAAAATGGTAGCCAAAAATTTTATCTAGGTAAAATAGAGAAGTCTGCCTTTTCTGATATAAAAAGATAAAAAAGTTCCACTGCTTACTATATCTTACATAAATGAAAGTAGTGAAATATGTTTAATCTATAACTGAGAATCTTGCTGAATTAATATACTTCCTATGAATATTGTGGGCATCCTAACTTATAATCTCAGGTAAAATAATAAGTATAATTTCTGAAGATAAAATTAAAGAAATACTATTCAAAAGTGTACTAGATTTTGCACTCTTGTACCAAATCTAGATATCACAAAGTTCAATATCTACAGACAGAACGCCAAAAAAGTTATATATATGTGGCCAATTTATTGTTTACTCTTAAAAAAAAAAAGAAAAAGAAAAAAAAAAAAAATTATCTATGAGTTTCTCAAACATTCTAAAATGGTTGGTAATACTTCAGTCTCCCTATAAGCCACAATTCCTCCTGCATTGCTCCACTGTAAGCTGGCTTTTGGTGAATCAACATTTGGTTTGTGGTATTTTATCTGAATACTTTTCAACAGATCCTCCGAGATATGCTGAAATGCAGAAAAGAAATACCATTAATGCATTAATCAGTGAGGGTAAATCAATATCAATACTGATTGCTTATGAACATTAAATTTGTCCAATTGATGTGCTTAGTTAACAAAAAAGTAGTTTCTGTTTTGGTATATTTCGAAAAATTTTAATATCTACTACATACATTATCTTCAGCAGAGGTTAATAACTGTCTGTAGACAACTACACCACCTCCCAAGGATTGCAGTAGACCATGAGGTGCTGCTGTGTCCCACCGGAAAGTTGAACCCTAAAAGAAAAGCAAAGATATTTTGTATCAGATGTGTTCACTAAATTTCATATATGAAACAATTTACCAAAGAAAATCCAAAAACATAAAACTTACTTTGGAGCAAACATATGCCACCACTTGACCAAGTGCAACAACAAGAAGTTTGTATCCAGCGCCAGAAGCATAAACAATGTCAAACTTCTTTCCAAGCATTTCCTGCACTTTTACATCTTCACTTGATGACATCACTATTATTGGACGAGTAGCATCAGAGCCAAGTTTATGGATTGGCATATTATGGACTCTGACATCATTATAACTGACACTCCAGTAGATTTGGCCACGCCAACTGAAAAGTAGCAAAACAAGATTTCAGCATTTCAAGATCGAAATATTAAATATCCTCATATCACTCTATACATATTGGGCTATCTTAATTAATATACAATATGATGACAAAAAAAAAAAAAAATTATCTATGAGTTTCTCAAACATTCTAAAATGGTTGGTAATACTTCAGTCTCCCTATAAGCCACAATTCCTCCTGCATTGCTCCACTGTAAGCTGGCTTTTGGTGAATCAACATTTGGTTTGTGGTATTTTATCTGAATACTTTTCAACAGATCCTCCGAGATATGCTGAAATGCAGAAAAGAAATACCATTAATGCATTAATCAGTGAGGGTAAATCATTATCAATACTGATTGCTTATGAACATTAAATTTGTCCAATTGATGTGCTTAGTCAACAAAAAAGTAATTTCTGTTTTGGTATATTTCGAAAAAATTTAATATCTACTACATACATTATCTTCAGCAGAGGTTAATAACTGTCTGTAGACAACTACACCACCTCCCAAGGATTGCAGTAGACCATGAGGTGCTGCTGTGTCCCACCGGAAAGTTGAACCCTAAAAGAAAAGCAAAGATATTTTGTATCAGATGTGTTCACTAAAATTTCATATATGAAACAATTTACCAAAGAAAATCCAAAAACATAAAACTTACTTTGGAGCAAACATATGCCACCACTTGACCAAGTGCAACAACAAGAAGTTTGTATCCAGCGCCAGAAGCATAAACAATGTCAAACTTCTTTCCAAGCATTTCCTGCACTTTTACATCTTCACTTGATGACATCACTATTATTGGACGAGTAGCATCAGAGCCAAGTTTATGGATTGGCATATTATGGACTCTGACATCATTATAACTGACACTCCAGTAGATTTGGCCACGCCAACTGAAAAGTAGCAAAACAAGATTTCAGCATTTCAAGATCGAAATATTAAATATCCTCATATCACTCTATACATATTGGGCTATCTTAATTAATATACAATATGATGACAAAAAAAAAAAAAAATTATCTATGAGTTTCTCAAACATTCTAAAATGGTTGGTAATACTTCAGTCTCCCTATAAGCCACAATTCCTCCTGCATTGCTCCACTGTAAGCTGGCTTTTGGTGAATCAACATTTGGTTTGTGGTATTTTATCTGAATACTTTTCAACAGATCCTCCGAGATATGCTGAAATGCAGAAAAGAAATACCATTAATGCATTAATCAGTGAGGGTAAATCATTATCAATACTGATTGCTTATGAACATTAAATTTGTCCAATTGATGTGCTTAGTCAACAAAAAAGTAATTTCTGTTTTGGTATATTTCGAAAAAATTTAATATCTACTACATACATTATCTTCAGCAGAGGTTAATAACTGTCTGTAGACAACTACACCACCTCCCAAGGATTGCAGTAGACCATGAGGTGCTGCTGTGTCCCACCGGAAAGTTGAACCCTAAAAGAAAAGCAAAGATATTTTGTATCAGATGTGTTCACTAAAATTTCATATATGAAACAATTTACCAAAGAAAATCCAAAAACATAAAACTTACTTTGGAGCAAACATATGCCACCACTTGACCAAGTGCAACAACAAGAAGTTTGTATCCAGCGCCAGAAGCATAAACAATGTCAAACTTCTTTCCAAGCATTTCCTGCACTTTTACATCTTCACTTGATGACATCACTATTATTGGACGAGTAGCATCAGAGCCAAGTTTATGGATTGGCATATTATGGACTCTGACATCATTATAACTGACACTCCAGTAGATTTGGCCACGCCAACTGAAAAGTAGCAAAACAAGATTTCAGCATTTCAAGATCGAAATATTAAATATCCTCATATCACTCTATACATATTGGGCTATCTTAATTAATATACAATATGATGACAAAAAAAAAAAAAAATCATAATGCTACAAATTATAAAACATGGAGCACATGAAATATAAGTAAAGTCATGAAAATAAAATCATTAATCATATCAGTCAAGAGTAAATATTTGTTAAGGAATATAAAGAGGTAGAAAAAACAACAAATCTAAACAACTAGTTATGCTCAGACCACAACATTTAATTTTGAAATGATGTATTATTTTCTTTAAAAAGAAGGATACATACCTCTGGTTTTCTTCATCATACACAGCAAAGGGATGATTAACAACCCCTCCTATTATTTCACCAGTAAAGCGATCATAAAAACCAATGAGGATAGTCACACTTGGAAGTCCACTGCTGTATATGCTTCCATTCAGCTTTCCAATCTCACCTCTAACATATTCGCCAGTGGAATCTGAAATAAAACTGGTTTCATTTATCAGCTTAATATTTCACCACCTTTACTTTTTATCCCCTTGATGATCCTCAGATCAGTTTAACCCATTGCCGCCGGGGAAAATGAACAAAAAATGGGGTAAATGCAGTACTCATTTTTTATATTTTTGTGAAATATCTTTGTCTATAGATGGCTCTGCTAGTCCTGATTTCACCTTTCCTTGAATTGGCGGGAAAAAACGTATTCTTACTAGTGTTATAAATATAGATGGTGTTATTTTTAACAGCAAATTAGGATAACGTTAAATATTTTCGTAAGTCGATGAAAAGGGTGAACGGGCGAGACAGGCAGTACTCGTAATTGGCTCATTGGATACTTAGTACAAGTGTAGCCATCTATGTGTAAAAACAATCAAACAAATCGACTCACAGTGGGCATGGCATGTACGTACATGCCATCCCCGGCGGCAATGGGTTAATACCTCATACTGTTTTCAAATTAATCCTTTAAATAATGTTAGGTAATGCAGTGTACTTGACTATTATTCAATAACTGGTTCATACACACATAGTTGTACATATCTCACAATAAAAATATCTTGATAAGAAAATCCAATGACTTTAAGATGTTATAAAACACATTCAAATCTCTAACTTATGTATTTGTTTCCAAAGGTGCACAGCAGAGCTATTTACAGATCTGGTTCTTCTTTTGATACTGCTATATAGTTTATTAATAACAATAACCATCATCATCAACATAGACTCAGATGTCAGAAAATACCCCTGCCCAAAAAGAGATATACACTCTTTCTCCCTTTCAAACAGACTGACTTTTGATGGATGGAAAAAGCAACACCATACCCTTTACAGACTATTCAAAAAATGCAAGGAAAACTGCTTGTCTCTGCAACTAGCAATTCAAAAAGTAAGACATGGGTTATTTTAGCCCCTTGACTATGTAATACCCTGAAAAAGATCATCAAGGTTTGTAATGAATCATGAGGCTGTCACTATAGAAGTCTCCATAAACCAAAAGTTCCTCCAAATCAGTTCTCGGGCTTATGGAGGAAGTACTGGTAGATGCAGTACCAATCCTGCATCTACTGGATTAACAAAATCCAGCAAAGGGATTGACCAGGTCACCACAATCAAACGCTTAATAATATAGATAAAAAAGTACTCTATGTTCAATGGTACTAATGCACAGATGATATATTATAGTACCTATCTATCAGACATGCCACACATTTTGTATGTAATATATTCCTAAGTGTGTATCTTTTTGTAGTGAGATGAATGTTCTTAAAAGTCTGGTAATGTGCAAATAAACTTTTCTGTTTTATAATTCTGTCAATTGAAAGTATCCCACACTGTATTAAACCTGAGTATTTTCATATCTACATAACTGTTAGTAATATGACCATTAACTTACCAATAGGATCAATCCATATACCCAAGTTATCCAGAGGTATTTTTGGTATCTTGGCAGCTAATGTTGAGTCAGGTTTTACAATAATAGATGTATGAACAACAGCTGCCAATAGTTCTGCAGCTTCTTTGTTGCCATCTAAAACCTGCAATTAATTAAAACTACAAAAATCTTTATCAATTAATAATAAAAATAAAGTAATGAAAGGTCTTACAAACACTTCCTCTAGAGCTCTTACTGTTGACAATCCTGTCACAATGGGCTAACATTCTACATGCTGTAATAGTAAAAGTTCTCTGATTCACTTATAAGAATCTAAGGATTTTCAGGCTATTCTTTTAAGCTACAGAAAAGAATATCCTTATATAACCACATGATCATTTTCATATTCTCACCTTCTCAAGAAGTGTAGCCGTCTCTTCTTTTGTTGCGCAAATCTGGACAATAACCCGTTCCCCAAGAGTATTTGTAAATTCAGCACTCTCTTCCCCTTGTACATGTTCTCCAAGGGATGGAATCTGTATTATAAAGCAAAATTACAATCTGTATTTAAAAAAAACACATTTATTTGAAAATTACACTATACCAATGACATGAAAAATTTAGTAGAGAAAAAAACTTTTAGCAAATAATAACCTAAAAATCTACTAATAATTCTTCTTGCTTGGATACTCCAAAAATTCAAATTTACATGTGAATTTTAGAATAGATATAATCCCAAAAGTAGATATTGTTGTAGACTCATATTTAGTTCACCTAAATAAACCCAAGAAAGCCAGAAGGAACAAGGAATTTTATTTTTTTCATTATAATTACTATTTTTCTTTATATAGAACTGAGAGTCTTTTGCACTTCCCTTCACAAAAATGTGAAATTAAAACATAAATATAAATTTTTAAAAGTATTTTCAAACAAGCAGCCTCCCACTATTTTGCAAAACACCATCTTCACTTTGAAGTACTTTATATTAACCAACCGTTTGTGTAACATGATGCCTGAGAGCTTCTTGGATAAGCACATCTGCCAGGGTCTTAAAGTCTTGAGCAAACCTTTGATTTTTCTCGTTTTCTCCTTTTTCCTCTACTAACAAAGAAAAAAGTTTTGGCTCTCTCCGTATTGTCCGTGCAATTTCACCAGCTTTCTCAGAGAAGCTAAAAAGGGTTTCAATGAGCTCCATCTTGCCCTATAAGTAAAAAGAAAAATTATGTATAATGTGCAAATAATGACATATTGTACTGATCACACTAAACCAAATTACCACTCATGATGAGTATTACAAATACAGTATCATTGAACATGAATTTTATATAAAAGGCTGAAAAAAGGGAATAAAAAGATACTCATACCTTATTACCACAGACCTGGTAAATAACAAATGCTGTAGGTTCAGTTTGTCACCATTAAAGCCCTTTGCTGGAGTCTGATCACAAAGAAGCCTTCTAAGTTGACTTTTCTGACAGACTGCCAGCTAGTATTTGATGTGTATTATGCTTATGTAAATCACATAATAATCAATATTTCAAATTATGTTTGTCAAGTATTTTATCTTACATCCCATAATTTCAGTTCCTTGTAGTCTACAATTTATACTTCATAACTAAGTCTGTATGGTAATGCTGTAGTTTTCTTTTTTAATTCAGATATGGTAATGCACAGACTCCACTCTTGGTCCTATATATATATATATTTTTTTTTTATCAGTATGGATTTTTTATATCAACAGATTACATTGAACATATCTACTCCATAAAGATATATATCTGTAAAATTCTTATGGTACCCACTAACCTTTAAAATTGAATTCTAAATAAATAAATGATAATAAAATACTTATGATTCTAGTCTCTGAAACAATAAATGATAATAAATGACTTATGATTCTAGTCTCTGAAACAATAAATGATAATAAAATACTTATGATTCTAGTCTCTGAAACAATAAATGATAATAAATTACATGATTCTGGTCTCTGGAACTAAATAAATGATAATAAATGACTTATTTTTCTGGTCTCTGGAACTAAATAAATGATAATAAATTACATGATTCTGGTCTCTGGAACTAAATAAATGATAATAAATGACTTATTTTTCTGGTCTCTGGAACTAAATAAATGATAATAAATGACTTATTTTTCTGGTCTCTGGAACTAAATAAATGATAATAAAATACTTATGATTCTAGTCTCTGAAACAATAAATGATAATAAAATACTTATGATTCTAGTCTCTGAAACAATAAATGATAATAAAATACTTATGATTCTAGTCTCTGAAACAATAAATGATAATAAAATGATAATAAAATACTTATGATTCTAGTCTCTGAAACAATAAATGATAATAAATGACTTATTTTTCTGGTCTCTGGAACTAAATAAATGATAATAAATTACATGATTCTGGTCTCTGGAACTATTTTATTTAGTTAACTGTCAATTAACATTTTCTAAATTGCTCAAGCTGTCAATGCTGATACAAAAACTGAAGATAATGGGAATTTATTCCCTTACTCAATCATTTTCTCACTAGCTTTCCAAGCACAAACATCTGTCAGCTACAAATTTGTGTGAAAGACATTGCATAAAAGTTTCCAGATGTGACAAGCAATTATGTTGAAAGAAATCAACTCTGAGCCAATTTTCCCCAAATACAATAAGTAAACCACACATAACTAACAAATACTTTCAGTAAAATTAATGAGGTATATATCTAGAAGAGAGATTCTTATGCTGGGGTCCATGGACCCCTTGTGAGTCCAGAGATGGGTTTCAGGGGTCCCTAATGACCAGATCAAAATTAACATTACTTTTTGCACAAAAAGGAGGGTTTCCTTTAATGTTTAATAACATTTTGTGTATCCCATATGTGTATGAGAAAATCAAATCTCAATAAATAAAGTACATTGTGCACATTACATGCAAATTTGAGTTTAAGTGAATATTTCTGGAGAAGGGGATACACTGCTTTCATCAGCTTCTGAAAGGATCCACTGACCTAAAACAGGCAGTAAGTGATGCCTTGTTCTCTACAGGTTGTTTTGAGGTAAAGGCCAACAAACCTTTACCATAGTCTATATATTCTAGCAGGACAGCTTTTGTCTGGTACCTAATCTGAAGATGAACTGTCAGCAAGGTCTATAAAACGTCACAGGGACTCAGAATCAAATATTCCATAGTCCCACGTAACAAATAAATACACAGTCATGGTAAACATTCCACATCATGGGCATGGCAGTAAGGAATTATGTTAATCCTTTCATAATATTGGAGTATATATTTCTTATAATTTTCATAATCATACCATGGTTATATATTTTGTTATTACTGTTACTCATGTATATTGTAAATGATATGTACATATATATGATCTTTACAACAGGGCATAAACAAGCATGAAATTTAAGAGGCTGTGAGAGGCTAGTAAAACTACCCCATTCGGCATTAAACTTGTATATAAGAGCAAGAGAAAAATTGCTCACTCTTGCTCGCTCAGTAATAGCCTCACAGATCTATCAGTGTAAATAGTGGACTAAAGCACATTCATATTTTTAAAGTGGTCGAATATAAGTGTGTTTCATTATTCAATCCACCAAAATGTGTTTATTCCAGGTGCATTTGATGCATTCCTGAATGAGAACTAAGTATAAAGAATAAACAAGTGAGAGAGTATCACAAAACTGACATGATCAAAGTACTATTACATGAAAAAGTAACTGCTCCAAATGAATTAAGTAATATAGCTTTCTGCCTGCCTGCCTATATATTCTATTTAAGAATATATAGGAAAGGTTACAAAACTCTATCTTGCTAAAATATAAATGGTAGATGTTTCTTGACCATTACCAGCATGGAAAGCACAGAGAGCACAGCATTGTTTTATGTATAAATCCATGGACTGATAAGAAATTGAAGATTAACATCAATCATGCAGATATTGTATCCATTCTTTATGCTTGTATAGCTTTGCATTTGACATATTTGCATTTGGTGATACTGCATTTAGCAACTTTGATGGGTGATTTGCTGTCACAGCATGACAAGTAATCACAGTAATAACAGAAGCCTAGAGATGAATCTTTATGTCATAAGATATATGTCTTGACTGCCAAAATCAGGTCTCACATACCTACCAAAGTCAGATGATCACCCAGGCATAAAGTTGTGCATAACAATGTATACCAGGCCTTGTTTGCCTTTATCAAAAACTTTACCCACTGTTACTGGGCTATCCAAGTATTAGCCTGTATCAGATCTTGTGATATTTCATAGCTAATGGCCACATCATCCCCACAATTCCATTTGATGTATACCAGGAGGGGAAGGGGGTTACTGACAGATGTTATGAACATTGGCAAACATTGAAATGCAAAGATAAAACACAGTATCACAATAAAAAGATGAGATGGCTCAGTCTGAGAACCACTGAGGTGTGCTGGGGCGAAACTTATCTCAGGTGACACTCTCCCTCTTGTTATCCTTAAATGAATTATGAATATTAAAGAAACTTCTATTCTTCTTCTTTAAGGTGCAGTTCAACTGGCTTTCTTTACGGGTGGGCCCCAACTAATCTTGGGCCACCCTGCAAGATGTAGTGTTTCAACTGCAGAAACAGCATCCATGCCAGCTCAGACATACCTAAAGATTGACTACTTGGTAGCACAGACCACAAAGATTGTTTCCCTTTTTTCGTCATAGTTTTGTGTATTGTGGCTTTTAACTTTGTAAAGAATGAGGAAAGAATACCAAAGTGATCATGGGTTAAGGTATGGAAAAAAAGAAAAGACCTATAATTTTACCATCACTTGGCATTAATACTTTGGTATCTAACAAGAGGTTAGTGTTAAATAACATATTAGTTTTCATCTTTCGTGCATGATTTTGCTGGTGTCCTTTTGTTGTTTATGTGATGTCTAATTATTTGTAAATAAAATCAGACTTAGATTTAGTTATTTGCAAATCTCAAGAATATTGATATTTCTATAAGATATATTAATAATACTGGTAAGTACAATCAACAGCAACTAGTACAATGTGCAGTGAAACAAGTTTCAGAAATGCTAAATTTGCTTGTTCTTGTGATTAAAGTAAGTCCCCTCTTTACAGTAAATATTTCTAATTGATTATTTTCCTGTGTATAAAAGTTCTTTTTGTTCCAGATACTGCAGCAGGAGAACGGCTCTGAATCATTAGAAAAATTGTAGGCAGAAAGCTATATTACTTTATTTCTTATTTGTTGTAGCTATGTTATTGAAATTTTAAAAGTTTTGCTCATTCGTATTATAAAGTTATTGTTGTATTTATAATTCAATATTTTGTAATATACTGTTTATTTTCAAGTTTCTAATATTTTATTAATATAATAGGTTGTTGCTAATTTCATATTTTTTTAAAATATTGTAGTTTGCATTTTTTAGTTATTGGTAGTAATTGATTTTTTTCTCTTAAATTCTCATATTTTTGTTACATTTGTAAGTTTGATCATCAGTAAATAAAACAAGAGGAAATTAGTTTTCTTGAACTACATACTCCTTTAACATAAGTGCAAATGTTTGTTACCCAAGTATATACTCATATTTTTATGCATAAATGACCACCATAAATATACCATATAGCACTGTAAATATTAACACACACACACACACACACACACACACACACACACACACACACACACACACACACACACACACACACACACACACACACACACACACACACACACACATTTATATATATTCAGATGCATGTGTACATACATATGCATGTAGGTATGTCAATATATTTATATATATGTGTGCATAGATATAAAAACATATTTAGATACATACATGTATATATACATACGTATATATATACATACATATATATATACATACATATATTTATTTATATGTATATACGTATATATATACATACGCATATATATATATATATATATATATATATATATATATATATATAATATATATATATATATATATATATATATATATATATATATAGTAATATATATATAGTATATATATATATATATATATATATATATATATATATATATATATATAGTATATACGTATATATACATACTATATATATATATATATATATATATATATATATATATATATATATATATATATATATATATATATATATATATATACATATATATATATATATATACATACATACATATATATATACATACGTATATATACATATGTATATGTATATTTATTTATATGTGTATGTATATATGTATGAAATATATATATATATTATAACATATATACATATGTATGTATATATATATATATATATATATATATATATATATATATATATATATATATATATATATATATATATATATATATATATATATATATGTAGGTATGTATGTATACATGTATGTATGCATATATGTATGTATTTATACATATACAGACACACACACATACACACACACACACACACACACACACACACACACACACACACACACACACACACACACACACACACACACACACACACACACACACACACACATTTATATATCCATATTCGCTTACATGGACGAGCCTCGATGCAAGATGATTATCCTAAAAATCAAAAGAGTGTCTTCTTGTTTGTTTAGTTTTATAAAATAAATAATTTTCTAATAACGGATACATAACAAGTAATACAGATAATGTTATATATTTTCCATGAGCTTTAAAAATGCATAAAGATATTTATAATTATTCTTAAGAAATTACAAACAACAGTTTTTATTGCACCCTGGAGAAGCCCATGAATTTTTCTATGGAAGAACACTTTATTTCTGGTTATTGTGGGCTCCCCACAGCTCCCAGATTTTGCACCAAAGTGTTACAATTTGGCCCAGATAGCCAGGAATACAGCCTGAAATGCGTGTAAACAAGGCCAGCTGAACCGCCCCTTTAGTTTACATCAGGGTATCTGAGAGCAATACATGCAAAATTGCATGGAACTTCTGTGCCTGCAAAACCAATGTCATTTTCTTCATCTTACTATGATTATATGATCATTATCAAGTGACACAGAATCTGCAATACTGTGAATAACATCGCACACAGCCTTAAAGTAGTGTTAAGTACCTATGTGATACCACTAGCCTTGCAGTCAATATTCGCTTACCACTGTATCCATCCCCTTCAATTCTGCCAAACAGGATCTTACCTTCCACTTGACATGAATTATTTATACATTCACGGACTACAGGATCATATTTAACAATGCAATGCACGTTTTCAACTCTTGCATTAACAATGCAATTAATATTCACCTCTAACCACTGCTACATACACTTTTGCAGATTCCCTCAGCGCCTGTCGGAAGCTAACTCAGCCGTAAAATAGAATTTCCTTCGAGCCTTTCGCGGATCCGGAGCGAGACTTTGGCGCTGATGAAGACGACTTGTTTGTTGTTGTTCCTCCGCCGCAGACGGTCAGCTGAGTGCAGCCAAAATAAAATACTAAAATCGCGACAGTTAAGTTTCATTTCATGTCTATTTAAAATATATCTATTACAAAAAAACACATGAATTTATGGTAATAAGAATTATTTTGATGAATTTTAAATCCGTACGTATTTGCCGACAGCTGTTAGCGGACGGCAGCTTACCCGCCGTGTGATTGGTCCGTTCTAGGCATTTAAAAAGGGTCGCTGGCGGGTTTAACGTGTGCCTTCTTGTTGCAGGTTTGAATGCGGGCGGCTTTGCTCTTGGGACTAAAAGCTGTAGGCCTTGATATGTGCTACGGCCAATGCTGTGAGTATTATAGGTTTGTTGTGGAGAAGTGTTGTTAAAGATACTATCTTATTATACTGAAAATAATATATTTAATGTAGCATATAAGACAAATATCGCTGGCAGTCATTCAGTGGCTGTCATAGGAAATGACAAAATTATAAGTGGTCTTTGTGTTAAACAAGTACTCTTAATCATGTTGCATATGATCTAATGGAAGTGTGAATAATACGGATGTCACATGAACATACTTATAACACCTTTCTTTGTGACGATTGACAAAGAACGAAAAGGGTTTTCCCACGTTTAATGTGATAAAGAGAATGGAACAGATTTAATTTGCTTTAAGAACCAGTGTAGCAAGCATTCGTTGAAATTCTTAGTTTTTCAGTTACTCTAGCTGTTAGCTCAGCTTATTTAGGTTTTCACATGAAAAACGTGTGCAGGAAGATTGAAAATGACAATCAGGACGTCATTTAAAAAAAAAGTAGTAATTGTTATCTTGACAAAGACTGAGACGTTTTTCATCTATGGCTAAAGGTATACAAACTGAACATAAAGACATGTGATGCAGTAGAGAATGTAATAAAAAAATATATTTTGCTCCATAATTTTTAACCCAAAGTAAAGCATGGATAATTGTTAACAAAGTGACTACACTATTTTTAAACTGCCCTTGTTGCTTTATCCAATAGCCTTGGGGACGCTTGAGAATTCACAAAAAGTGTATTAACCAGAAGGCTTCACCCCCTAACCTCACCCAGTCATAGTGGGCTTAGTCTCCGTGCAGTATATTCACGAACTGTTTTCTTTTTGATATTAATTTTTTACCTACCCAGCTTATTCCATATATTACTGAGTAATTTTTTTTCACTTTTTATGTCATAAACTTACATTAGTACTCTGTATGTCAATAATTCATCTGTCTATAATTATTGTATGTGTGTGTGTCTATATATATATATATATATATATATATATATATATATATATATATATATATATATATATAAACACATATGCATACACAGTATATAGAAACATATACTAGGGCTTCCCTCTGGAGACGGTAACTATTGCTATGGCCTGACCACAAATAGATGAAGTCAACTTTAGTACTTATATTGCTGCCAGGGGTTCTCAACTCTGAGAGGGCAGTTGCATTCACCTTTAGCTATTTCAATTGTCTTGATATTAGTAGCAAAGAAGGGTGTACCCTGCCCCCACTGAGACAGTCTGAGGTTTATCCTCAGACAGTCCATTCAGGGTGAGAGCCACTACTGTCATCCTTATCTGCATTGCCCCAAGTAAGCTGGGCAGCAGGCTACAGGGTTCATTGTCTGCATGTAGGGTTCTCAGAGACTGCCCCACAAGGCTCACACTGGGTTGACACCTGGATCTTATGTAAAACTGGATTCACCTGCTCCTAAACCAAAGCCTTGTGGTTAGGGAGTTACACCATATAGTTTTGCTGTAATGCAAGAAAAGCTAGCCCTTACCTTATGATATTCAGGTTTCCGTCTTTCCCAGCAGTCTTCCAGTAGTTTAATTGGTGATATATATTATGAATTATATATTTCTCAGCTTCTAAACTGTTCTAAGACCGTTTTCTTTTCAGAGAACGCAAACACTTTTGTAGTAGACATGAGCCGGGCAATAGATCGATTGTCATATCTACATGCCAGTGACTATGAGTGAGTTAATATTTCTTATTTTCTATTTGAATATTGTTTTAAGTTTTCTTTTCAGTTTTTTCTACTCTAGAATCTCCAACACTGATTAAATCTCTTCAGAGTTTTCTTTCCTCATGTTGTAGAATATTTATGTAGACCTTGTTACTCCTTACTGATCAGTTCTCATATTTAATTTGTGATGCTGGATAATCCTAGGCAAGCTTTCATGATTATATACATCTTCACTTCTTTTGCTTAAGGGACATCCCATAGGCCACAACAGTTGCTTGACAAATTTATCAATAGGTTTCAATAATTTTATTAATTTGTGACAACTATGTCAGAAGAATTTTTTAATAGAATTTGATGATCTCTCAGCTTATGTTATGTTTCCTTTGTGTTATATGTTTTTCCTAAACTGTTTTCTACCGCTACTTGGTCACTTCCTCGTACAGTTTATATAACAAAACACAATCAATAATTCTTATATATATTCTTACATTTGTTTTATTTGAAAAAGCAAGTTTCTTATTTCATTACATGGGCATGCTTCAATTGCAGATTTGCACCAGACTTGGCAAGTACATTTGATCCATGTAAGAATCTGAATGATGTCTTCCAGTCCATCCCCATTGAGGAGGTTGATGTGGAGAATCTCAAAGTTTACCTGAGAGTAAGACCAAGTTTGCCTGATGAACAACAAGTAAATGAGGTATGAAAGCTTTTATTTGTCAATCCCTGCCCTCTGCTCTCTCTACTCAGGGAAGGGGGAAGGTCTGGGTTATCAGTTTTGGAGTATCAATCTCTCTTGAATTCAAAAAGGATTGGGCTTGATTGAAAGGTTTACAGAGCCATGTATTGCCTAGGACTGATCTAGAATATAATTGTTCTCTTTTTTTCAGGATACACAGGTTGACATTTTGGACAACCACAGCATCATCCTTACAGCTCCTGCTTCCTCAAACACTTTCAAGAATAGCACAAATGGCATTACAAAACTCAGTCAGAAGTAAGTTCATTGCTGAGGAGATTATAGTAAAGAAAAATATATTTAGAAACATTAACCCACTGTCACCAGGGATGGCATGTATACACTTGCTATGCCCACTGTGAGCTGAGTTTTTTAATTATCTTTACACATAGACAGCTCCATAAGTACTATAATAGATGAAGGGAATCTACCACTTGTGTGGTAATTTGACTCCTTATGGAGTACTGTAATAGGTGTGGGTTCCCACTGTTATGGCTGGTTGTTGTAGATGAAGTGGAGGTTTATGGGGGAGCCAGAGAGGCTCCCTGCTGCCCGCTGGTGAGAGAACATTGATGAGGCTATTGGACCTGGTGTGACCCAGCCTAGAAAGTATGCAGAGTTGAGCAGTTTGCAGGTCATGGCTGCTATAATGCTAAGTTACCAATGAGCCAATTACTAGTACCGGTACCAGCTATCTCACCCATTTACCCCTTTCCTTTACTTTCAAGTGTCCTGTAGAGCCATCTATGTGTGAAGGCATTTCACAAAACAAGATTAAACACTAAATTTTCCTGGTGGCATGGACTTAAATCTATACATTCTTAAATAGAAGTGTGTGTTTATACCCACAAATGCATGTTCATATTCTGTGTCAAATCTTATTTAAGGAAACTAAATATTCTACCTAACAGTCAGTGTGCTGAGCTGCAAGTTTCTCCCATGATTCTTTAAATGTATGTGTATAAGTATATCAGGATATCTAGGTAAACTGCTTATCTACACATAAATGTGTGCTTGATTATGACTTTGGAAAGTAGTTTGTTTCAATGCTATCTGTATGAGAAATGCATAAAAGAGTTAGATTGCAATAGCATTTTATCCTACTGATTTTTATACATCTCATTTCAGGTTCACATTTTCTCAAATCTATGGACCAACCACAAATCAGAAAGAGTTATTTAATGGATCCACCTCAGGACTAGTGAAGGATTTTATAAATGGACAAAATTGCTTATTGTTCACTTATGGAGCCACAAACTCAGGGAAAACTTTTACTGTACAGGGTAAGAATCTGATATAGTGAACAAAAATTAGTTTATTATAATAATTTTTTTCACTCACTCTCTTTCTCTTTCTTTCTTTTTCTTTTTTTCTTCCTCCATTAAAAATAAGTTTGGTATTAAATGATAGAAAATTTCTTTAGCATAATCCTAAAGTTTTGAGAAAAGTTGGCTGGAATACAGTACAAAAAAATACTTAAGCTATTTTATTATCATCTAAACTTATTATCAGATTACCTAAAGTATCAAAAACAGTTAGCAAGAAAGGAGATCATATTATGTGTTCTCACATTTAAGTATATAGAATTCACATTAAGTATTTCTTTTCTTTTCTTTTACTGTAACATAGAGGATCTAATTGACCAAATATGGCCCTCTTTCCAGGTACACCCAATGATGCTGGTATTTTACCTCGTGCTCTTGAGGTACTTTTCAACACAGTGGGGGAGCAGCAATATGAACCCAATGACCTCAAACCCCGCTACTTTTGTGGTGTGTTGCGTCTTGAAGAAAGTGATATTAGAAAGGAAGAAGAGAAGAAAGAGAGAATCTTCAAGATAACTTCAGATCTAGGGTCAACTTTCTCTCAGTCAACAATGGTTATTATTACTATGTGTGACACTTATGGCTGGCATTGAAATATGGTTATAACTGATGTGTTGAAGTCTTTTTTATTTTGTAATATATGATCTAGTACTTTATTAATTTTTCAGAGCCTTTCAAAAATTTCCTTTGGGGACTGTTCTCTTAA